TTCCTCTGTTGCCGTCAGTGCAGCTGTGGGACCTTCAGGAGGTTTTTTGATGCAGACAGTGGTGAACAGCACAACATGCTGTCAGAGAGTCTCTGCAGAAATGAGACATTTAGACCAAGTACATAATGTGTGTGACAGCAGTGCTGGAGTACTGGGGTAAGCAGGTCTGGTCTAACTGGGCAGTTCAGGAGTTGGACTAATTGCCTTTAATAAAGTCCCACAGAAGCACTGGCTACATCCAAATGCTTTCCAGTCTTGATTCAGTGCAGTGATAGTTGAATGGAGTCAACGGAGTCATAGATCACTACAGAAACAGTCACACCAGCATCAATTTGTTGGCACCAGCAATAACTCACAATGTCCACAAGAGGTCACTGTAGACCTTAAATAGCACATGGTGGCAAAACTGTTTAATTAAACAGTGGAACGACCCCCCCAATAATCAGACCCAACCAATATAACCCCCCCAATAAAATAATGAATTATCTCGCATAATTAGGCTGTTGATCTTCTTTACTCATTTCAGGTATTACCAGCAAAATAGTTGCATGTTTAATCATCTGGGAATTTACCCAAATTTACTTAGTTATTTAGACAGAGATCTTGACCCCCTCCCCCAAATGTGCAGCACAAAGTTACACCAATGTTCTTAATACAGCTGGATGTAATTATCGTGGCCACTGCTATTGAATTTGTCCTAAATAAAATCTTGCCACCATAACGTCGAGAGTACAGTAAAAATTGATCAGTGTGACATATAATCTTCACATGCCTGAACAGGTGTAACCACAACCACACGAAGTTGGGTTAAAACGGCGATGCAGTGCAACCGAATATCGACTCTGTAGTAACACAAAGAGGTAACGAAGCAGAATCCGGTAGAAGGAGGAAGATGTTGCAGCAAAGCTGAGGAAGATCAGGTGATTGTCTGGCAGGTAAACAGCAGGTCTGAACTGACACCTGCCTGGCCAAGAGGAGTGATGGCCTTCCCCAAACTGTTTTCTCAATTCCTGTTTCTCTCAGTGACGGTCAAATCTAAACGAGGATGAAATCAAACTGAATCAAATGTAAATGTCATTAAATGTGTCCTTGTTGGTCAGCCATAGACTGAGGAGACACTCTGTATCCTCCAGCCTCAGAGTGGACGTGACTTATTTATGGACAAGTCATTCCTATTTACTCAAACTCCCTGCACTCAGCGTTGTTGGCTGCTCTGTGTAAATATGCCTCTGCCCTGCTTGTGGCGCTGTTAGTCTGTGATACAGCTGTCATATAGATGTTGGTCTGCCACACTAAAAGCTATGATAAGTATCTAAATGGCCTTTACACAGATGGCTGTAAAACCTGGTTTTACTGCAGTTATTAATTGTTAATCATTAGCTGAGTGCAGCATGCTGGTCTGTACCTTTATGTTGGTGAAGAATAAATTCAGTGTCTAACTCAAGTCTAACACAAAAGTTCCAACTTTGTTCACTTTGTGATGAAGCTGCTCTTCATCAAAGTGAACAAAGTTGTACTGAGGAATGAAGAGCACAGGAGGAGGCCTCTGCTGTTTGACACTGATGCTCGCTACAGGCCACACATACAGGTGGGAACAGAGTTCACTCTATAGCTCTATAACAGACTGACCTCCACCATCAG